CCCTCTGAAGCCTGGGGAGAGACAATATAAATTGAACAGGATGCAGGAACAGACATATTAACAATGAATGAGAAGAAGTTGGCCATTCAGCCCGTCAAGCCTGCTCCTCAATTTAATATAATCACCGCTGACCTGAATGTGGCCTCTATTCTACGTTCCTGTCTATCCTCGACTGATTCCATTGTTAGTCATGAATCTAACAAACTCAGCCTAAAGGCATACAACAGCCCCACATCTACCACTCACTGATAGCATCCTTGCTGCACGCACCCTGTCAATTACCCTCAAGATCCAACATGTCTCAATAGGATCACCTCTCATGCTTCTAAGTGCTAATGGATACAGATCCAGCCTGTCCAACCTTTCCTATAAGGTAATACCCCTCATTTCAGGGAACGCAGTGATCCTTTTTTGAATTGCTTCTCATCCTTTCTAAAATGAGGAGACCAAAACCATACACAGTACTCCAGTAGGGGTCTCAGCTATGCTGTAAACACTACTCCTTTTATATAGCACTCCTCTCACAATAAACAATCCACCGGTCGATCTAATCACTTGCTGCATCTGTGTAACCCTTTGTAAACCGCGTACACTCGGATCTCTCTATACCTCAGAGTTCTGTAACCTCATTCCATTTCAAAAATATGCTGCTTTTTAAAAAAAATTTTTCCTGCAATGTGGACAAATTCACGTTTTCCCACATCATACCTTCTGTCAAATTTTTGACCCCTCACTCAACCTTGCTATCTCCCTTTGCAGGCTCCTCGTGGCCTCTTCACAACTTACCTTCATGACTAATGTTTATGTCATCAACAAATTTAGCAACCAACTAACATGAAGAATGCTGGAGAAACTCAGCAGGTCAGGCAGCATCTGTGGAGAGAGAAACAGCTCCAAAGAAGGGTCACTCGTTTCTCCAGCAATCTGCGCTTGTTTCAGATTTCCAGCATTTACAATATTTTGATTTTAATTTATCGAGTGCACCTTCAGTTTACTTATCAAGTCCTTTATGTAAATTGCAAATAGTTAAGGCTCTGAATCTGATCCATTTGGCCTGCCAATGGGTTGCATCTTGCCAAAGATGAGTCATCTACACCTACTTCGTTTCCTGCTAGCTAACCAATGCTCTATTTACACTAACCTGTTTCTCCCATTATACCATGTATAAATTTTGAATTAGCACGTTGACTTCTGTAAATCCAAGTACTCCACATTTAGAGATTCCCTTTGATCCAAGTTGCTTGACACTTCCTCAAATAATGCCAACAAATTCACAAACACCATTTTCCTTTCACAAGACCAGGTTGACTCTGCCCGGCTGCATTGGGATTCTCTTCAGCGCCCTCTACTTCCAGCTTAATAATCGATTCCAGCACTTTCCTGACAACAGATGTCCAGGGGAGGCAATGGCCTAGTGGTATTATTGCTAGACTATTAATCCAGAAACTCAGCTAATGTTCTGGTGACCTGGGTTCATAATCCCACCACGGCAGATGCTGGGATTTGAATTCAATAAAGAATCTGGAATTAAGTGTCTCGTGGTGACAGTGAAACCATTGTTCGTTGGTGAATTAGATGGGTTTTTCTGACAATGTCTTTTAGGGAGCATTATCTGCCATCCTTACCTGGTTTGGCCTACGTGTGACTCCAGACCCACGGCAATGTGGTCAACTCTTAACTACACTCTGGGCAATTAGGGATGGGCAATAAATTCTGGACTAGGCAGAGATGCCCACATTCTGTGAGTGAATTAAAAAAAAGCTAACCAGCCTATGGTTTGCTGCTTCTTCCTCATTTGCTGCTTTTCCGTCTGATGGGACCTCCCTGGAAACCAGGAAATTTTGGAAAATTAAAACTGGTGCATCTGGCAATTCATTCTTTTAAGACTCCAGGAGGAAGTCCGTGAGGACCTGGGGATTTGTTTGCCTCCAGTTTCAATAATTTTCTCAATCCCCTTCGGCTGATAAATGTTTATTGTTAAGTTGCTCCCTCATTTCTCCTCTTACAATTATTTCTAGGAAGTTATTCTGCAGTGAAGACAGATGTAAAATATTAGCTTAATTCATTTACCATTTCCTTATTTTCCAGTATTAGTTTTTCAGGCAACTTACGCGTAGTTTCAGTTACTCCTGTCCTTTTTAAACATCTGTGGAAACTCTTACTATGCTGTTTTATATTTAGATCATAGAATCCCTACAGTGTGGAAACAGGCCCTTCGGCCCAACAAGTCCACACCTACCCTTAGAACATCTCACCCAGACCCATCCCCCTAACCTACACCTCCCTGAACACTGTGGGCAATTTAGCAAAGGCCAATCCACCTAACCTGCACATCTTTGGACTGTAGGAGGAAACCGGAGCACCCGGAGGAAACCCACACAGACACAGGGAGAATGTGCAAACTCCACACTGACAGTCGCCCGAGGGTGGAATCGAACCCGGGTCTCTGGCGCTGTGAGGCAGCAGCGCTAACCACAGAGCCACCGTGCCCGCCCATGCGAGCTTTCCTTCTTATTATAATTTTTCCCTCGTTATGTTCTTTTAGCAGTCATTCTTTGCAATGTTTTTTATTCCGTCCAATCTTTCGACCTGCCACAAATTTTCATGGAACTTTTACCCTAAACGCCTTTGATGAGGAGGAATTGTTTCCGAAATCAGCTAACAAACCAAGTGGAATCCTGATCTTTATGAATGGAGGAAAGAGTACAAAAGCCAGAAGGTTAAGCTAAATCTTGATGAAACATTGCTTCAGCCCCAGCAGGAGTACCGTGTCTAATCGAGGCACCATGATTCACCAACGGACAATGGTTTCACGGTCATCATGAGACACTCAATTCCAGATTCTTTACTGAATTGAAATCCCAGCATCTGCCTTGGTGGGATTTGAACCCAGGTCACCAGAACTTTAGCTGAGTTTCTGGATTAATAGTCTAGCAATAATACCACTAGGCCATTGCCTCCCCTAGACACATGGTGCAGGTAAGATGACAGAGGCAGGGATAAGAGACAACAGTAACGGCAGTGGGGTATACTGGAGAGGCTGGGATTTGTTCTCTGTAGGGTACAGAAGTTTAAAAGGGAATCTGATACAGGTGCTTGACATCACAGAAGATTACACCAGAGCACTACACCAGTGTCTACAGGATCAAAAAGCATTCACTGCAGATTTAAGGTGATCGAAAGGAAGAAAAACTTTTTGACACAACAAATAGTTTGGATTAGGTTTGGATGGGGTGATGACCACACAGCAAACTTCAAAAGAATAACTGATTGAAAGCACGAAGGACAAAAATCCGCAGAAATACGATGGAATGAGAGCGGTGGGTGCAATTAACTGGATTATCCTGCAAAAGATATAATATACTGGATGGACTGAATGGCCCTCTTTAGTGCTGTACTATCATGTAGTTCTAGGATTTGGATGCCTGAGACCAGGAATCAAGGGTCATTACCCTGGTGTAGACCACTCACTACAGAGTACCTGACCCCGGGCTGACAACAACACCCAGTCAAGTCAGGGGAAGGCACCTCCTATGGGTGGAGGGGTATATGACCAGCCCAAGACACAGCGGCCAGTCACTGGGAATGAAACTACCAAGTCTAATCCAAACAGACCTGGTCAGAATGAGGTGCACCCGCCCAGCAGAGGTACACAGCCCCCTAGACTAGGGATTGCAATCGTGAACGCAGCCTCTCTCAACTTTCCCCAGAGCAATGAAATTCTCAACTGTACAGTCCAGGAGCTGAACGGCACAGGAAGAGGAGGAGGCCATTCAACCCAACATGTTGGTACTGGCTGGTCGGAGGAGCTGTTGTGTTTGCTCCCACACCCCTCCTAGCTCACCTAGCGTTGCACACAAGTTTAACAAAACCTCCTTGGCTCTTGTACTCTTGATAATGACAAGGACACAGTACGCAGAGTTCACTTGGGAATGGAAAATAAGGCTCGATTGAGGCTTTTGGACTGTCCTGAACAAAGATGGTGCAGGAAATCTCACAAGGGTGTCCGTTGTTTGCCTCAGGGATCTGGTTCCCCATTCCAGGCCATCTGGGGCTTGGAGGTACCACTAACCCTGGGATGGGTAAGGGGGAAATCCCACAAACACTATTCCACAGCCTCGCCCCTCCCCATCTCTGTAATTTCCTACAGCCCCGCGAGGAACCAATTTAAACTGTCCCAAGGCAATTCATGGAAGTGATGGTGCAACGAAAAGTGGACCTCCTACAGCATAAGCAGTGATGGAGAGGGGAATTCTAAAGGTCATCTTAAAAGGAGAAAGAGGAGTGGAAAGGTTGAGGTGGGCAATTGCAGAGCTCAAGACCCACGGCAGTGAAGACATGCCCGCCAACAGTACATTGAAGGAAATTCAGGACAATTTCTGTCTAATGAATGCTCCAGTGAATGGCCTTAAGATGCACAGATCTGAGGGTTATAGAATCTGGAGGAGGTTACAGAGATAGGGAGGGGTGTAGGGGCTGGAGGAGGTTGCAGAGATAGGGAGGGGGTGTAGGGGCTGGAGGAGGTTGCAGAGATAGGGAGGGATGAAGGAGCTGGAGGAGATTACAGAGATAGGAAGGGGGTGTAGGGGCTAGAGGAGGTTACAGCGATAGGGAAGGGGTGTAGGGGCTGGAGGATTTACAGAGATAGGGACGGGGTGTTCAGGCTGGAGGAGGTTACAGAGATAGGGAGGGGTGTAGGGGCTGGAGAAGTTGACAGAGATGGGGAGGGGTGTAGGGGATGGAGGGGATGGAGGAGGTTACAGAGATAGGGAGGGGATGGAGGGGGTTGCAGAGATAGGGAGGGGGTGTAGGGGATGGAGAAGTTGACAGAGATGGGGTGGTGTAGGGGCTGGTGGGGGTTACAGAGATAGGGAGGGGGTGTAGGGGATGGAGGGGGTGACAGAGATAGGAAGGGGGTGTAGGGGATGGAGGTGGTGACAGAGATAGGGAGGGTAAGAGGCCATGGATGTGTGTTAATGAGAAGGTTGGACTGCACTGACCTGGAAGCCCAGGCAGCGTCCATAGAAGCAGCCCTTGTGCATGGAGTTGGACTCAAGCAGGAAATCCTCTGAGAGTCCCTTCTCCTCACCAAAGAACAGGTCGCCGTGCTTGTTGGCAGTCAGCAGCCTCTGGGCAAAGTAGACGAGGGCACGGAGCTGGCAGAGGGCAGAGCAGTATGCCTCGATCTCCATGCAGTTGTGGTTGGTCCTGAAGAAGATGCTGCGGCGGTTGCCAGTGATGTAGCGAGATTTGTGGATGATGTGCAGGATGCAGGAGCGCACCACCTTGATGAGGCTACGGTAGCCATTGGCTGGAGTCTGCTCATCAAAGTCGAAGATGGGGAAGATCCGGGTGAAGTTCTGCACCAGCGGCTGGAGGTGGCGGCCGTGCTCCTGAATCTGGGAGAAGGCTGTGACAAACCGCCGGCCGGTCTCCGAGGAGTTCTGCCGAAAGAAGCGGATGTTGTCCTCGGTGACTGAGTGCAGGAGGAGGAACATGGTCCTTACGTCCGTGGACGGAGCGGACGCTGCGGCTGTTGCTGTTGGAGAGGAAAAGGAGAGCACGGTGATTACAAATCCACTGTCCCAACCAAGTCTGTCACACACGGCCAAGAGAACGCCATCCTGACCCCTTCAGACTGTCATATAGGGATAGGAGGAGGCCATTCAGCCCCCTAGAGACTTATTTTCTTCTTTATTCATTAATGGGATGAGGGCGTCGCTGGCTAGGCAGCATTTATTGCCCATCCCTAATTGCCCAGAGGGCAGTTGAGAGTCAACCACATTGCTGTGGGTCTGGAGTCACATGTAGGCCAGGCCAGGTAAGGATGGCAGTTTCCTTCCCTTAAGGACATTAGTGAACCAGATGGGTTTTTCCAACAATCAGCAATGGATTCACGGTCATCATTAGACTCTTAATTCCAGACGTTTATTGAATTCAAATTCCACCATGTGCCGTGGTGGGATTTGAACTCAGGCCCCAAAACATTATCTGGGTCTCTGTATTAACAGTCCAGCAATAATACCACTGGGCCATCACCTCCCCTTATTCAGCACAGGGACTGCAAAAGGCCACTCAGCCCCCTAGAGACTGTCACACAGGAACAGGAGGAATCATTCAGCCCCTCAAGCCTGTGAAATAGAAATGGGAGGAGTTTCATTCTACCCTTGTTAAACAGGAACAGGAGGGGGCCCGTTGTCCTGTTTCTTGGAACAAGAGATGGCCATTCAGATGTTCAAGACTGTTCTGCCATTTGGTCAGGTCCTGGCTGATTTGCATCTTAAATCCTCTTCCCTATTCTAGCTCAATCAACCTTTTAGAGCTAACACTAATCTACGAAACCAGCCTCAAGAGACCTTCAGAAAGGGGCAGAATTATGTGAATAAGGGCAGTCCTGTGTAAAACAACATCATCATCAATTTTCCTCCCACATCACTGAGTTTTGAACAAATGAGGAAAGCTGCAGTGCCTCAACAATGACTCCAGGACATTGCAAAGGGGTTTCAACTGATTGAATACATGTGAAGTGTACTTATCGTTGTAACCCAGAAATTGTTTCACAGTCACTGGATCAAAATCCTGGAACTCCCTGCTAACAGCGCTCCTGGAGAAATTTCTCCATTCATGAAAATACAAGATTGGCCTTACTGCTGCCCTGATATAATACAAAGCTGCACCTTGGATTTCAGATCTTAGCCAGTGCCCCTCAAGAAGTATGAACTGGACTCGAAGAAAGAACTTACCAGCAATCCAGGGACAGAGGGATGGGGTGAGCCCTGGTGCCGTACGTAGCACTTTGAACTATGCAATAGGCTCGCATCCCACTCCAGAGAACAGACAGCAAGATCACCAAGACTCACACCAGCAGAGGTGTGCCAAACCGAACGTGGGGCCAGAGCTAAGGATGTGCCACACTGTGGGAGAGATCAGGGCAGGGGAGGGGAGTACTGAAGGAGTGCAGCACAGTGGAATGTGTCAGGGCTAAGGGAACCCCTTTCTGAGAGAGTTCTGTACTGAAAGAGTGCTGCCAAATGGGAGAGGTCAGGACTGTGGGAAGGCCACGATGAGGAGGTGCTGTACTGTTGTAGGCGTCGTCTGTCAGACCAGACAGTAAGACAAGCCCCCTCTGTATCCTCAAGTGGGTGTTAAAAATGTCATGGTGCTAACTGGCAGAAGAACAGGGAAGATTTCCCTGGAGTTCTGAGGCCAATATTTACCTCCGAACCAAAATCACGAAAACATATTCTCTTCTTATAATCACCTTGATGTTTGTGGGAACTGGTTGTGCTCAAAGTGGTTGTTGTATTCCCTATATTACTGCAGAAACAGTATTTCAGGAAGCGCTTGATTGGCTGTACAGCATTACCTCAGATTATAGGGCAAAAGAGCATGCTCTTTGAAGTGTACAACGTAAGAATCAAGGTCGATTTACTGCCTCCTTTCATGTCCTAACATATTTGTTTCTTAAAGACTTGTTATGATTGTAATTGGCTCACTTGCAACATCACTATTTTTGAGCAGTGCATTCAGTAATTAAGGTTCTGGCTGAATAATTATTTTCATTTATGGCTATCCCAAGGGAGTTGTTGAACCAATAATGAGGGAGCTTGAGACCAACTGTACCTACTTACTGTGAATTAAACGGTGTCGCTAAATACAGACTGGGAATAGAAATGTAGAAAACAGGAACAGGAGTCGGTCATTCGGCCCTTCGAGCCTGCTCCACCACTTAATATGATCATGGCTAATCATCCAACTCTGTACTCTGCTCTCATAGTCATCCCTTTAGCCCTAAGAACTATATCCAACTCCTTCTTGAAAGTATTCAATGTTTTGGCCTCAAACAATTTCTGTGGCAGAGAATTCCACAAGCTCCCCATTCTCTGGGTGAAGACATTTCTCCTCATCTCAGTTCTACATGGCCTACCCCTTATTCTTAGACAGTGACTCCTAGTTCTGGACTCCAGGAACATCCTTCCTGTGTTTACCATTTCTTGTCCTGTTCGAATTTCATACATTTTCAGATCCCCTTCATTCTTCTCAACTCCAGTGAATATAGGTCTCATTGATCCAGTCTCTCTTCATATGTCAGTCCTACCATCCCAGGAATCAGTTTGGTAAACCTTCCCTGTACTTCCCCCATTGCCGGAACATCCTTCCTCAGATTAAGGGGGCCAAAACTGCATATAGTACCCCAGGTGTGGTCTCACCAAGGCCCTATCCAATTACAGCAAGACGTGTCTGTTCGTGTACTCAAATCCTTTCACTATGAAGGCCAACATACCCTTTGCCTCGTCGCACCTCCCCCTTTCCTGATCTATCACCATTCAGATAATAATCTGCCTTCCTGTGTTTTTCTCCCAAAGTGGAAAAGCTTGCATTTATCCACATCTGACATGCATTTGCCCACCCATTCAACTCATCCAAATCACACTGCAGCATCTCTGCATCTTCCTCACAGTTCACCCTCCTACTCAACTTTGTATCATGACTCCTCAGATATTGAAGCAGTCCATGTCCAAATGCAGCAAGACCTGAACAATATCCAGGCTTGGGGCTGACAAGTGGCAAGTGACATTCACGCCACACAAATGCCAGGCAATGACTATCTCCAACAAGAGAATATGTGCCCCTTGATGTTCAATGGCATTACCATCACTGAATCCCCCACTAGCAACGATGACCAGAAACTGACTTGGAATAGCCGTATAAATAGTTGCTACAAGAGTTGGCCAGAGGCTGGGATTTCAATGGCATGTCACCAAACTCCTGACTCAAACTAGCCCGCTTGATTGGCACCACATCCATTACCATCAACATTCACTCCTTCCACCGCCGACGCTCAGTAGCAGCAGTGCATACTATCGACAAGATGCCCTGCAGCAAGCCACTGAGGCTCTTTCAACAGCACGTTCCAAATCTACCACCTAGAACAACATGGGAAAGCAGATAGACGGGAACACTACCAAGCCACACACCATCCTAACTTGGAACTACATCACGTTTCCTTTATTGTCCTGGGGTGAAAATTCATGAACCCCCCCGCCTCCTCAAAAGCACTGTGGGTCTACTTACAACACTTAGAGAGTGGTGGATCAAGAAGGTAGCTTCCCAAGGGGAATCTTGGGATGGACAATAAACGTGTCCATAACCGGGAATGAATAAAAACTAAATTGAGGAGATGTCAGGACTGGTGAGCAAAACCTTGGTTAAAGAAGAAGATATTAAGAGCATTTCAAAACAGGAGAGAGAGAGAGAGAGGCAGAGATTTAGTAAGGGAATTCCTGAATCTCGGAGGAGGTTCCAGGTATGGGATTTGTGTAGCTGGTGAGGCTAACAGAGTGGGATTTATAAACAAGGATTAAAATCTTAAAACTGATGTGTTCCCAGATGGGGAGTGCAGATGGATAGTGCGGAGGACTTGAGGTGAGTGAAGTTATGGCCAGTAGAGTTTTGCTTGGGCTGAGGCACAGCACTGAACGGGAGCTGAGCCCTGAGAGGAACGGAATTGTCCAGGTCAGTGACAGCCAAGACACACTGGAGACTTTCAGCAGATGGTGCAACTCTATCCATTAAACTGTTTAAACGGGTCCTGTGCAGTTGTGTCGGGGGTGGACGGTATTGTGAAGGTCAAGGAACAGAGGCTACATCATTTGCCTGCCATTGTAGTGTGTTTGTTCACAAAGAGAGGCTCCCAAGACAATGATGAGCTGCCACATCAGTCACAAGCCAGTAAACAAGGAACAAGAGCCGCAACTATACTCGTGACTAATTCATGCCCTGGCTCAGCTCCGTGGGTAGACAAAGACAGCAATAGTGAAAGCAATGCGATAGCTGGTATCAGTCTCCCCACTCGGATTCCTTTCTTCTCTCCTGTAGGCGGTGAAGCAAATTCCAATAGATTGCCTCAGCCTTTTCTGCCTGATTACACATCTGCAAAGCACCTTTGGACCTGTCTCCACGTAGAGGTGGTGTGAAATAATGTAATTTGTCATTCTCCATATCAATCATAGACCTGCAAACTCAACATAACAAACAGGGGCAAGAGGTCATACAGTCCCTTCCCCGCCCCTTGTGCTTCATCTGCCATTCAATAACAAAGTCAGAAATCACATGACACCAGGTTATAGTTCAACAGGTTTATTTGAAAACACAAGCTTTCGGAGCCTCAGTCCTACTTCAGGTGTTAGTCCCTACTCCAAAAGCTTGTGTTTTCAAATAAACCTGTTGGACTATAACCTGGTGTCACGTGATTGGTCCACCCGAGTCCAACACCGGCATCTCCACATCTTTCAATAACAGGCATCAGAGGTTGAATGGTCGACTTTGGCTCATATTTCACATGCTTCTGTCTTTCCTCTGATACAGTGTCAAAGCACTAAACACAGCCCTCCAGCTCAGCTCTCAACAATGCCTCGTACAACTGTACCAAGAATTCTTTACTCATGAACACCTTTGCAATAAAGGCTAACATACCATTTGTCTTTCCAATCATGGATAGAGCAGGGACAGGAATGGTTGTTGCAGGTTCCGGGGTTT